AATATGAAATCCTTTCAGAGGGACACGGAGCTGTCTTTCGCCTTGCCCGGAATGACACGAGTTGGGTCATGGATGTCACAAGAACATCTGCCTTTTTAGCCTGCGCAGTATGTTGTGCTGTTGTATATGTGGAGTAAGAATTTATTTCATTCTTGTAATCATGTTTATTATCCTATCCTGGTGAATGACTGTTGAGATATGTTTTCTTTGATTAAAGTGTCTATTTGCAGAATAGTGCTTTTCTTAATTAGCGTCAGTTAGAATTTCAATCTGAAAGTTGTTCAGGCATTTATCTTTATGCCATCAAGTCTTATTATCTGGGGCACCTTTTGTGGTCCATGTTAAAATTGATAAGTAGGAAAAGGATAATGGGAATTCATTTAAAAAATCATAATCACCCACTTTCAAATAAATACTGTAGGAAGCGGGGAAGTGGTTGATGCAATCATGTAATCTATAGGATCTATGGCTACGTATATTTGGTTGGTTGGTTGGTTGGTTGTTTAACGCCGCACTCAGCAATATTCCAGCTATATGACCCGCGGTCTGTAAATAATCGAGTCTGGATCAGACAATCCAGTGATTGATATCATGAGCATCGATCCACGCAATTGGGATACGATGACATGCATCAACCAAGTCAGCGAGCCTGACCACCCGATCCTGTTAGTCGCCTTTTACGACAAGCATAGTCGCCTTTTACGGCAAGCATTCATTTGGTTGCTGAAGACCTATTCTACCCCGGAATCTTCAAACCGCTTGAAGAAATCGGGGTGTCAAGTATTTAAAGTTTCACTGTCCAGTGGTCTCTGAGAAGATGGCTTTTATTTAGCATTTTGAGAGAGTTTAACAGCATGGTGGCAAGTTCAAATTAAAGTCATGTAATGGTCAAAATAATAAATAATAAACTATAATTTATTTTCATCTAAGAAAATTTCAGGTTCTGGAAATATCAAGAATATTGCACAAAGTTATTTAATTAAATGTTACATCCAGTTTCAAAATCAATTTGTCCTTGTGTCTGTGCAACCCCTTTATACCTCGTGCTACTTCCTTACATTGGTCATTTAGACTTTGGGTTCACAGCCTTGCATATGCGATTCGTGAAGATCCGGGTTAGAATAGGTCTTCAGCAACCCAAACTTGTCGTAAAAGGTGACTATGATCGTCGTTTTCATGTACGGGGCGACTCACGAGATCGAGTGGTCAGACTCGCTGACGTGGTTGATGCATGCCATGTTACATTAAGGGTTACGTTTTTACATTGAGAGTAACAACCCGCAACCCTTAATGTAAAAAGTTTTGGGTTTTTTTACATTAAGGGTTAATATCGTACACATCGCCCCTTAATGTAAAATATTCTTATAAACAAAGTTTGATTTAAAATATAGGATACGTTTTGCTATGCTCACGTGTTTTATTGTTTTTGCTCGGTTTCTTGCAATTATTAGTAATAAGCGTAATTCGTAAAAGGTCCAAGTTCGGGAGTTATTCTGGAGGAATACCTTTGATAAAATATTCACTGGTAAGACGTGTTATTGATTTTCGCTACAGATAACATGCTATTACTATTCTGTTGGATAAAAGTATGTTTGGTTTCAGTAGCGCTACATTATGTGTGTTTACATATATCCAGCCGGAGAGATCGACCTGGTAATAATGACAAAGATAGACAAAATGGGGTAGAGATTTTGTTGTATTTTTTATTGAGTACACTGGAAGAAGACCCGGCTGTTTCTATCATTGTACTTGGGTTTGTTTGTTTGTTTATTTGCCTGTTGTTTAACGCCGCACTCAGCAATATTCCAGCTACATGACGATTGTCTGTAAATAATCGAGTCTTGACCAGACAGTCCAGTGGTCGACATCATGAGCATCCATCCACGCATTTGGGATATGAGGACATGCATCAACCAGGTCAGCGAGTCTGACCACCCGATCCCGTTAGTCGCCTCTTATGGCAAGAATGGGTTGCTGAAGATCTATTCTGCCCCAGATCTTCACAGGTCCATTGTACATGAGTGAGTGAGTGAGTTTGGTTTAACGCCGCTTTTAACAGTATTCCAGTTATATCACAGCGTGTCAGCTTAATGTTGGAGGAAAGCCCTAAGTGATGCAGGTCTCAGACGTTTACCACTTCTGTGAAACCCACGAGCACGGGTATGGTGCTGACAAACCTAGAAACATAATCGGAGCGAACCGGGATTCGAACCCACAATCATAGGTTTCTGGCGTGCCCAAGGGACGCAATTCTGCACAGCGAAACGCGGCGCCTTAGACGACTGGGCCACCCGTGCCTCCTATTAGGCATTTAGGGTGTAGTGTGATAGATTATGGTTTGGCATCGAGTGACATGTTCCCCGATGATGATGAATGTCTCTGTAAAAAACATGAACGGTGCCATTATGTAAATGCGTTCAGAAATAACTAAAGATAACTCATACCTTTTAAGTAAAACAAAGTTTGCAATGAATACAGATAACTGTGTGGAATCAAGAAGGACCAGTTTGCACAATGTAAAAGGAGTGACCTAGAAAATGCAGCAGTGGGAGACTCTAAATGTTTCTGGGACATTATAAAACGTGTGTCTGGACGACCGCAACGACCCAACCCTATTGATATACAAGGCTGGGGGACTATTTCTCGTCGCTGAATTCTGAACCAATGGGTATTCAGGATAATCTTGGTGAGATGGAGTACATAGTGACAGGTCATGGTTATGTGCAGGAACTGACAATTGACATATTAGAATCCACAATCACCAGATCCGAACTTTGTGAAAGCATCAGTGCCTGGAAACATAATAAATCAGCTGGCTTGACGACATCTATGGAAGCCATTGTACAAACATGGTTTGAGTGCTAAAATGGGTAAAATGTTACAATCCTTGTACAGTAATGTAAAGGCCTGTGTTCGTTCAAACAACAGAGTATCTGGTATATGTGTTGCTTAGTGGGTGTGGGTCAAGGGTGTATGCTTTGTCCCTTTTTGTTTCAGTTTTTTTCATAAACGAATTGGTTACAAAATGGAACAAAACTGTCGTTTTGGTGTTAAGTTACATCCGGAATTTATTTATATTTTTCTACTTCTATTAGCGGAAGACCTAACTGTGTAAAGAAAAATAGTTGTTTTTCAAAAATATGGGAGGTTTATCACGTTATGAAAAAATGGTATTATGATGGGAATGCGTATAAAGTAGTTACTGGATACAATTATCTTGGTCGTATTTTAGCAATAGATTACTGAGATCGAATGCTTAAATAATATTCCAGTTGAGGAAAGAAAGGTGGCCATGGTCCTGTTAATTAGTATACATTCCTTGAAACCATCCTCCCCTCACTTTTACTTAAAATGTTTTGATACAAAGATAACACCAATACTTTTATACGGGGCTGGAATTTGGGGGTTCAGTGACATAGAACCGAGTCTGGCAGATTTTCTATTCAGTCGCTCGCTATTTTGAAATGTGTCAAATATTGGCTGTCTCTTTATAATATGCATGAATCTCGTATACCCCAAAAATGTTACAATATGCTGCAGTTGTACGATGAACAAGGCCACGTAAATTGGGTAACGAAACTTAAATCTGTTACTTTCAGATTAGGATTTGGTGATGTCTGGTACATTTAAACATGTGGTAATAAAACCGCGTTTTTAAATATGTTACGTCAGCGGTTAAAACCTTTTTTTCAGGTTTGGCATGGTAATTTATGCGAAAAAACCCAAATGGTTTATCATGCACAGTTGTAAATTTCCATTTCATGTGAGAACTATTTGAGTAGTATAACTGTAAATAAAATCAGGACTCGTTTGGGGTTCAGTTCAATATTCCTCGTGAATTTAGAAAATGTAATGTTTGTAACCTAAACCATATCGAAAATGAATATCACCTTTTCTTAATTTTTCTATGTCATAGCCATCTGAAGCAAAGTGTTTACATCTTTCCAAATATTCTGAAGTTTAATACACTACTGTCATCGCAAGACCCTATTATCAATATGAATACAGAAAAGTACGTGTTTTTACGCCAATGCTGTAAGAACACAAATACACAAATAAACTTTGATAATATGCAATTATGTTAAAACTGTTTTTTTTAAATAAAAAGTTTGTACATAAAGTCCCATGGCCTACAAGTACTGAATAAATTGAAGACTAATTATTCGTAATAGCTTCCTTCAACCTGGGTGCGTTTATTCAGGAACAACAGAAAGTAGAGCCATTGAACTTGTGTAAGTGCAGTACACCTTTCATACTCCAACAACCTCTCAACAAGGACAACCTGGTCGTTATTAACAGGTTTTCTTTATGGGTCATAACTGACGATTTTTTAAATCTTGTGACAAAGGTGTATCTAGGGACAGTATACAATATGACGTTATTTACGTTACTTCCTTGCTTCTTTGGTAACGGAAAGGGCATCTGCAGAGCTGATTAATCGATATTCAGAGATTTACCATCATGGCAATATAACCGAGGCATCTGATTGGTCCAAATTAAGTTCGATAAGTATTATTTCATAGTGATAACCCTTAATGTAAAAAAAATATTATCTATCACTTCAACCCTTAATGACATTTTTTTTACATTAAGCGTTGTAACAAGGGTGAACCCGCAACTCTTAATGTAAAATATTTTTACATTAAGAGTATTTTTTACATTAAGGGTTGTAACAAGAGTTAACCCGCAACCCTTAATGTATTTTTTTTACATTAAGAGTAATTTTTACATTAAGGGTTGTAACAATGCCATCGTATCCAAAATGCGTAGCTCGATTTCAATTAAATTACATGTATATGCTTGGGATATGGCCATGAGTCACGATGTGTCACATACAAAATGTATTTTTGTGGCAGACAATTCTGATTTGACCACAGGTCTGACGCATACAGATTTCAGGCAATGTTTGGGACACTTGTATTTATTTCGATGATATCCCGACATACAGATTATCAAACGGTCGATTCCTTATGTCCGGCCCTGAATACAACAAATTCGTATCATATGCAGACCATTTATTGGACACGAAATAACATTTAGTCCAGCTATTTGAACATTGTGAGACAAGCCTTCATCCTCTGTTGGATAGCACTGACTGCATTAGGGGAGTCAATCTGGAAGACGTTGGAAGGTTTCGACGCAATCACGTTGACTGTGGAATTGGCATCCACTGTCGAGATAGCAACAACAAATACCTCAGCTTTGGATTTCAGATCACCAATACTGGCAGCAATGGCCTCCCGGTCCTCGCTTGTGGTGTACCCATCGGTAAACATGACGACCTTGTTGGCAGCCATAAAGCGGTCGCCATAAGAATAGCTGAAAACTTGCCTCGAAGCCGCCAGCTTGATGGCATCGCTGAAGCTCGAAGAGGGACCGTCTTCGTATGTCTGCTGCTTGATAGCTTCCAGAACATCCGACTTGCTGTTGCTATATTTATTGAGTTTGAATACTACTCTAGCCTTTGAAGAAAACACCATCAATGCAACTTGATCACCTCTAGGGCTTATGGTGGTAGAGTTTAGCATACTCTCTTGAAATCGTTTCATTTCGTCAAAGCGGGTTTTGCCGATGGAGAGCGACACATCTTCAATAAACAGGATGTCTAGCATCCTGTTATTGCAGACTGGAAAAAAGGATGTGCAATATTGAAAGATTGTTCCTGGTGGGTAGGTGAAGGGACTTACCGATACGTTGTTTGTAACAGTGTCACACATATACAGATAACCTTTGTTTCAGTGTAAAACATACATAGTTAACCTCTGTTACAGTGTTACACATGTATAGATAACCTTTGTTACAGTGATACACATACATAGTTAACCTCTGTTACAGTGTTACACATATATAGATAACCTTTGTTACAGTGTTACACATATATAGTTAACCATTGTAACAGTGTTACACATGTATAGATAACCTTTGTAACAGTGTTACATATATATAGATAACCTTTGTTACAGTGTTACACATACATGTATATAGATACACTTTGTTACAGTGTTACACATATATAGATAACCTTTGTTACAGTGTTACACATACATGTATATAGATAAACTTTGTTACAGTGATACACATGTATAAATAACCTTTGTTACAGTGTTACACATATATAGATAACCTTTGTTACAGTGTTACACATACATGTATATAGATAAATTTGTTACAGTGATACACATGTATAGATAACCTTTGTTACAGCGTGACACATATATAGATAACCATTGTAACAGTGATACACATATATAGATAACCTTTGTCACAGTGATACACATGTATAGATAACCTTTGTAACAGTGATACATATGTATAGATAACCTTTGTTACAGTGTTACACATGTATAGATAACCATTGTAACAGTGATACACATGTATAGATAACCTTTGTAACAGTGTTACATATGTATAGATAACCTTTGTTACAGTGTTACACATGTATAGATAACCATTGTAACAGTGATACACATATATAGATAACCTTTGTCACAGTGATACACATGTATAGATAACCATTGTAACAGTGATACACATGTATAGATCACCATTGTAACAGTGATACACATATATAGATAACCATTGTAACAGTGATACACATATATAGATAACCTTTGTCACAGTGATACACATGTATAGATAACCATTGTAACAGTGATACACATGTATAGATCACCATTGTAACAGTGATACACATATATAGATAACCTTTGTTACAGCGTGACACATATATAGATAACCATTGTAACAGTGATACACATATATAGATAACCTTTGTCACAGTGATACACATGTATAGATAACCTTTGTAACAGTGATACATATGTATAGATAACCTTTGTTACAGTGTTACACATGTATAGATAACCATTGTAACAGTGATACACATGTATAGATAACCTTTGTAACAGTGTTACATATGTATAGATAACCTTTGTTACAGTGTTACACATGTATAGATAACCATTGTAACAGTGATACACATATATAGATAACCTTTGTCACAGTGATACACATGTATAGATAACCATTGTAACAGTGATACACATGTATAGATAACCTTTGTTACAGTGATACATATATATAGATACACTTTGTAACAGTGATACACATGTATAGATCACCATTGTAACAGTGATACACATATATAGATAACCATTGTAACAGTGATACACATGTATAGATAACCTTTGTAACAGTGATACACATGTATAGATCACCATTGTAACAGTGATACACATATATAGATAACCTTAAGTTTGTAACAGTGTTACACATATATAGATACACTTTGTTACAGTGTTACACATGTATAGATAACCATTGTAACAGTGTTACACATATATAGATAACCTTTGTTACAGTGTTACACATATATAGATAACCTTTGTTACAGTGATACACATGTATAGATCACCATTGTAACAGTGATACACATATATAGATAACCTTTGTTACAGTGTTACACATATATAGATAACCATTGTAACAGTGATACACATGTATAGATCACCATTGTAACAGTGTTACACATATATAGATAACCTTTGTTACAGTGATACACATGTATAGATCACCATTGTAACAGTGATACACATGTATAGATAACCATTGTAACAGTGATACACATGTATAGATAACCATTGTAACAGTGATACACATATATAGATAACGATTGTAACAGTGATACACATGTATAGATAACCTTTGTTACAGTGATACACATGTATAGATCACCATTGTAACAGTGATACACATATATAGATAACCATTGTAACAGTGATACACATATATAGATAACCATTGTAACAGTGATACACATGTATAGATAACCTTTGTTACAGTGATACACATGTATAGATAACCTTTGTAACAGTGATACATATGTATAGATAACCTTTGTTACAGTGATACACATGTATAGATAACCTTTGTAACAGTGATACACATGTATAGATAACCTTTGTAACAGTGATACACATGTATAGATAACCTTTGTAACAGTGATACACATGTATAGATAACCATTGTAACAGTGTTACACATATATAGATAACCATTGTAACAGTGTGACACATATATAGATAACCTTAAGTTTGTAACAGTGTTACACATATATAGATACACTTTGTTACAGTGTTACACATGTATAGATAACCATTGTAACAGTGTTACACATATATAGATAACCATTGTAACAGTGATACACATACATAGTTAACCTCTGTTACAGTGATACACATACATAGTTAACCTCTGTTACAGTGTTACACATATATAGATAACCTTTGTAACAGTGTTACACATATATAGATAACCTTTGTTACAGTGTTACACATATATAGATAACCATTGTAACAGTGATACACATATATAGATAACCATTGTAACAGTGTTACACATATATAGATAACCATTGTAACAGTGTTACACATGTATAGATAACCATTGTAACAGTGTTACACATATATAGATAACCATTGTAACAGTGTTACACATATATAGATAACCATTGTAACAGTGATACACATATATAGATAACCATTGTAACAGTGTTACACATATATAGATAACCATTGTAACAGTGTTACACATATATAGATAACCTTTGTTACAGTGATACACATACATAGTTAACCTCTGTTACAGTGTTACACATATATAGATAACCTTTGTAACAGTGTTACACATATATAGATAACCATTATAACAGTGTTACACATATATAGATAACAATGAAAGAGCCACTCCATTATGTCGCTTAAGATACTGTGTCTCAATACACTGCACATAAACTCGATGCAGTGGTTGTTCAGATAGCCTCTAATTGAAAAACTGAGTCTAGGCCGATTTGATATGCCACTTCGCTTGGTTGACACCCACAACAGCAGTAGAGAACCATCAACAAAATCAACATTGACATTGAGATTATGTCCCACACCCTTTGTTTTTTTAAGTAAACTGTGGAATGCCTTGTCTTGACATGCACACGAGGATCGTCAGACAAATAAATGTGTGCAAAAGTGCACAAAACAATTCTATCCTGAAGAGCCCCAACGTTAATCAAACCACGCCCTCCCATAATGATTGGTAAATATACGCGATTGAGGGAAGAGCGAGGATAGTGGGATCTATTGTCTGACATTATTCTTCGTGTGAGGGTGTCAGTACCTTGAATTTCTTGTTTCGTCCAATGAACAACACTTCTACTTCCACAAGAGGTTTCTCAATTCTATGCCGTGAAATAATAGTGACAAGCTCGCTCACTGTACATGAGTGGCACGGGTGGCCCAGTCGACATGGGCGTCTCAAATCGTAGTGTAGAGTTGTGTCCCTTTAGCATGTTTTTTGTTGGTTGGATAACACAAAGCAATATCCCAGCTATTTGACGGCGGTCTATAAATAATCGAGTCAATCCAGTGATTTAAACCGTGTGCATCGACCTACTTTTGGGATACGATAGCATGAATCAACCAAGACAGCTAGCCTGACCAACGAGTCAGCATTGGTTGCTGAAGACCTATTCTCTACCCGGATCTTCATAGGTCCTTAAGCATGTCAGAATTCTTAATCTCGGCTTCTAATCCAAGATATTGATTCTTGTTTTGTCAACACCATATCCGTGCTAGTGGGTGTCACCAAATTGGAAACGTCTAAGACCTACATCAATTCGGGTATCCCCTTACGTCAATGTTATACACCGTTATATAACTAAAACAATGTTACAAGCTGCGTTAAAGTGAACCCATTCCATCATTGCCATTCTGAAACCTACCTGTACAGTTCACACCCGAGAAATTAGGCCGACAGGCGCAGCTGTATCCGGTTCCTCTCTGTGTGCATGTGCCTCCATTAGCACACGGTCTCAGAATACCGCAGGGATCATTGTTGACTGCAAAAGGATATATGAAGCTTAATTATCTTCCAAACAGTGTTTCGAAATAAGAAAGAAAGATTAAACGACAGCATATTCGCAAATACATATTTTAAGGGTGATAATCAGTGTCTGAAGGGTTATAACGAGGGTGTGGTCGCCATGCCATTTTTTAAAGGTGATTATCAGGGCGTTGTCTCCATGACAGTTTTTAAAGGGTGATAATCAGTGTGTGAACGCCATGACAGTTTTTTAAAAGCCGATAATCAGGGCGTCGTCTCATGACAAATGTTAAAGGGTTATAATCAAGGCGTGGTCTTCATGGCAGTTTTTTAAGTGTGGTAATCATTCCGTGTGAACACCGTGAAGGGTGATACTCGGACTGTGGTCGCTTTGACAGTTTCAAAGGAGTGAAAATCAGTGTTTGGTTTAACAGTTAAGAATGAGGGGGGGGAAGGGTATCGTCGCCATGACAGTTTCAAAAGGCTGGAAATCAGGGTATGATCACTATGATAGTTCCCAATGGGTGAAAATCGGGGTGTGAATGCTATGACAGTTTCGAAGTGGTGATAATCAGTGTGTGAACGCCATGCCATTTTTTAAACGATGATAATCAGGATATGAACGCTATGACAGTCTTCAAAGAGTGATAATCAGGGTGTGAACGCCATGACAATTTTTCAAAGAGTGATAAATCAGGGCGTGAACGGCATGACATTTTTTAAACGGTAATATTAAGCGCGTGACTGCCATGGCAGGTTTTAAACGGCGATAATCAGGGTGTGAACGCTATGACAGTTTTTAAACGGTGATAATCAGGGTGTAAACGCTATGATAGTTTTTCAACGGTGATAATCAGGGTGTGAACGCTATGACAGTTTCGAAGGGGTGAAAACAAGGATGCGGTTGCCATGACAGTTTTGAAGTAGCGAAAATCAGTGTTTGGTCACCATGACAGTTTCGAGGGGGTGAGAATCAGGGAGGTGTTAATCAAAAGGATAGGACGAATTAGAAACGGCGGTTCGGTTTCTGTTGTCTTGTCAAATTCTTCATTGACTACTTCGCTGACATTATTCCTGCACCATCCAACAAGTATATAAAACATTTCAGTGTAAAGTAGTACTCCAAGACTTACAAAAGCAAAATCCTGCTCTTCTGTGGGGCGTGGAGAGATAGTATATCTCTTTACCGTTACACATCCTCGTCTCGATTGTATGTGGCCTGTAACACGCCCTCACCCTAACTCTATTACACACCATAGACGTGCCATTGTTTTCACCTTGAAACAAACAGAATTAGTGTTAGTTAATATAGGTTAGAACTACATTAAATGATATTGCCTTTAATGTCCGCAGAACTATTATAATCCTTTTTCAAAATATTTGCAACATAAAATACTTAGTTATGACTTTTTGTTTATAAGAAGTTGATTAACTATATTAATTATATAGATGGAATGCAGAAAGTCATTTAATGTTTGCCTGATAATGTTACTACCACAGTGAAGGCAGATGACACACGCCACCACACAGTATCACACATCAGCATACGCACACTTGTCAATACATCACCGCAAAATGCGAACGTTAACACGAACCTTCACACTTCACAACAAATCACCGCGCATCACGCATCATCACAAATCACCGTGCATCACACATCACCGCGCATCACCGTACATCACACATCAACACACATCAACACACACCAACACATCTCCACACATCAACACACACCAACACACATCAACACACACCAACGCATGTCAGCACACACCAACAGACATCAAAACAACCAACACAAATATACTCACATCAACACACACCAACAAAAATCTACACATATCAACACACCCCAACACCCATTAGCATACACCAACACACATCAGCAAACATAACCCCCATCTACACACACCAACACACATCAGTTCACATCAACACACGCCAGCACACGTTAATGCACATCTACACACACAAACATACATCTACTCAGATCACAACAACCACCACAATCCAACACATATCAACACACACCAACACACATCAGTTCACATCAACACATACCAACACACGAACAACAAATCTACACACACCAAAATACATCTACACACATCAACACATACCAACACACATCAGCACATACAACATACGCCAACACAACTGACACACATCGACACACATCAGCACACACCAAAACACATCTACACACATCAACACACACCAACGCACATCAGCACACACCAACACACGCCAGCACACGTTAATGCACATCTACACACACCAACATACATCTACAAACATCAACACACACCATCACACAAACAAACAGGCACGAACATACACCAATACACACCAACACACATCAACACACATATCTACACATCAACGCATACATTAATACACATCTACAACAACAGCATACATCTACACACACCAACACAAATCAACACATACCAACACAAATCTCCACGCATCAACACGCACTAACACACATCAGCACACATATCACACATCTACACACACCAACACAAATCAACTCAGATCACCACAACAACCACACACCAGCACATATCAACACAAATCAGCACATACCAACACACATCAACACACACCAACACACATCTACACACACCAACACACATCAGTACACATCAACACGCACCAACACACATCAACACACACCAACACATACTCGCACACATCAACACACGTCAGTACACATCAACACACGCCAACACAAGAACCACAAATCTACACATACCAACACACATCAGCACACACAAACAGAATCCACACACCAACAAAACCCTCACACACCAACACACACTCACATATATAAACACACATTAGCACACGACAACACACATCAACACAACCAACACACATCAACACGCATCAAACACACCACTATGTTGTAACACACCACCACACCATGTAATCACACCACTATGTTGTCACACACCATCACACCATATAACCACACCACTATGTTGTCACACACCATCACACCATGTAATCACACCACTATGTTGTCACACACCATCACACCATATAACCACACCACTATGTTGTCACACACCATCACACCATATAACCACACCACTATGTTGTCACACACCATCACACCATGTAATCACACCACTATGTTGTCACACACCATCACACCATGTAATCACACCACTATGTTGTCACACACCATCACACCATGTAACCACACCACTATGTTGTCACACACCATCACACCATGTAATCACACCACTATGTTGTCACACACGATCACACCATGTAATCACACCACTATGTTGTCACACACCATCACACCATATAACCACACCACTATGTTGTCACACACCATCACACCATATAACCACACCACTATGTTGTCACACACCATCACACCATGTAACCACACCACTATGTTGTCACACACCATCACACCATATAACCACACCACTATGTTGTCACACACCATCACACCATATAACCACACCACTATGTTGTCACACACCATCACACTATGTAATCACACCACTATGTTGTCACACACCATCACACCATGTAATCACACCACTATGTTGTCACACACGATCACACCATGTAATCACAACACTCTGTTGTCACACACCATCACACCATGTAACCACACCACTATGTTGTAACACACCACCACACCATGTAATCACACCACTATGTTGTCACACACCATCACACCATATAACCACACCACTATGTTGTCACACACCATCACACCATGTAATCACACCACTATGTTGTCACACACCATCACACCATATAACCACACCACTATGTTGTCACACACCATCACACCATATAACCACACCACTATGTTGTCACACACCATCACACCATGTAATCACACCACTATGTTGTCACACACCATCACACCATGTAATCACACCACTATGTTGTCACACACCATCACACCATGTAACCACACCACTATGTTGTCACACACCATCACACCATGTAATCACACCACTATGTTGTCACACACGATCACACCATGTAATCACGCCACTATGTTGTCACACACCATCACACCATATAACCACACCACTATGTTGTCACACACCATCACACCATATAACCACACCACTATGTTGTCACACACCATCACACCATGTAACCACACCACTATGTTGTCACACACCATCACACCATATAACCACACCACTATGTTGTCACACACCATCACACCATATAACCACACCACTATGTTGTCACACACCATCACACTATGTAATCACACCACTATGTTGTCACACACCATCACACCATGTAATCACACCACTATGTTGTCACACACGATCACACCATGTAATCACAACACTCTGTTGTCACACACCATCACACCATGTAACCACACCACTATGTTGTAACACACCATCACACCATGTAACCACACCACTATGTTGTCACACACTATCACACTATGTTATCACACCACTATGATGCCACCACCATCACACCCTGTAACCACACCACTATGTTGTCACACACCATCACACTATGTTATCACACCACTATGATGCCACCACCATCACACCATGTAATCACACCACTATGTTGTCACACACCATCACACTATGTTATCACACCACTATGATGCCACCACCATCACACCATGTAACCACACCACTATGTTGTCACACACCACCACACTATGTTATCACACCACTATGATGCCACCACCATCACACCCTGTAACCACACCACTATGTTGTCACACACCATCACACCATGTAATCACACCACTATGTTGTCACACACCATCACACTATGATGCCACCACAATCACACCCTGTAACCACACCACTATGTTGTCACACACCATCACACCATGTAACCACACCACTATGTTGTCACACACCATCACACTATGTTATCACACCACTATGATGCCACCACCATCACACCCTGTAACCACACCACTATGTTGTCACACACCATCACACCCTGTAACCACACCACTATGTTGTCACACACCATCACACCCTGTAACCACACCACTATGTTGTCACACACCATCACACCATGTAATCACACCACTATGTTGTCACACACCATCACACTATGATGCCACCACAATCACACCCTGTAACCACACCACTATGTTGTCACACACCACCACACTATGTTATCACACCACTATGATGCCACCACCATCACACCCTGTAACCACACCACTATGATGCCACCACCATCACACCATATAATCACACCACTATGTTGTCACACACCATCACACCCTGTAACCACACCACTATGTTGTCACACACCATCACACTATGTAATCACACCACTATGTTGTCACACACCATCACACTATGTAATCACACCACTCTGTTGTCACACACCATCACACCATATAACCACACCACTATGTTGTAACACACCACCACACCATGTAACCACACCATTATGATGCCACCACCATCACACCCTGTAACCACACCACTATGTTGTCACACACCATCACACTATGTAATCACACCACTATGATGCCACCACCATCACACCATGTAACCACACCATTTAACCACATCACTATGATGCCGCCACCATCACACCATGTAACCACACCATATAACCACACCACTATGTTGTCACACACCATCACACTATGTAATCACACCACCACACCATATAACCCCACCACTATGATGTCACACACCATCACACCATATAACCACACCACTATGCTGACACAAACCGCCACACCATGAAACCACACCACTATGTTGTCACAGACTGCCACTCCATTTAACCACACCACTATGATGCCACCACCCTCACACCATGTAACCACACCATGTAACCACACCACTATGATGCCACCACCATCACACCATGTAACCACACCACTATGATGAAACCACCATCACACCATGTGACCACACCATGTAACCACGCCACTATGTTGTCACACACCGCCCCACCATGTAACCACACCACTATGTTGCCATCGCCATCACACCATGTAACCACGCCACTATGTTGCCATCACCATCACACCATGTAACCACACCACTATGATGTGACAAACCATCTCACCAGGTAACCACACCACTATGTTGTCGCGCACCACCACACCATGTAACCACACCACTATGTTGTCACGCACCACCACACCATGTAACCACACCACTATGTTGTCACGCACCACCACACCATGTAACCACATGTCTTACTCTGTCTGTAAATCGGGATTTGGGTTCCACACATATTGGAGTTTCCAGGGTCCTGGCTGAGCAGCTCCCACTTCCCTGGGGCCCCATACCAGCCCGGGGTCAGCTTGCTGTCATCGATGAGGAGAGGATATCCTGGCGTGCTGGGGCTTCGAGACTCGATGTTGTCAAGTTCTTTGAAGTCCTTACATGGATCTGCCACTGTTAAAAGGACACAGCTCAAGTCAGCATCAGTCAGTTCTATTTACTGCTTTAAAGGCGTGATAATCCAGTTTGTTTATTTGTTATTTAGTTTGTTTGTTTGTTTGTTTGTTTTGTTTTGTTCAACGCCGCACACAGCAATAGTCCAGTCATAAGACCGTAAATAATCAACTCTGTGCCAGTAATTGACAACATAAGCACTGGTTTACGCAATTGGGGTATGATGACATGCATCAACCAAGTCAGCGAACCTGACCACCCGATCCCGTTAGGCGCCTCTTATGACAAGCATGGGCTGTTGAAGACGTCCCAAAAGTGTAAACAACGCATTCCACTGTCTCTACACACTCGCGAGCGAAGGATGCTGTGGGTAAATCAATATCTCCGCAGGCGGGTCGGGCGTTGTCGACATGTCCTTTTCACAGGTGAATCCAGATACTGTCTGGACGTCACCCTGGCCGGGACCCTGGCAGGACATGTGCCTTGGGAGGAACAGCTACGATACACAAACTGTACAATTGTGGTGCTGGGTTGTTTCATGGACTCAGTGGATTCAAGGCATGAGAATTGCAGCAACTCATCTTTGATTTGTTTTAAAATAAACAAATCTTCACAAAAACTAAAATGACAATTGGTCTCAAACGTGGGGAAGGAGATGCCTACCTTACGAAGTACCAGTTAGTTCAAGACAAATAATTTGGAAATGAAATATGGCTGCTGGTCGCCATATTGGAAAATACAAAACATCATGAGACATCCATCGTAATCTTCTCCTCCTCATAAACCACGTGATCAATGAAGCTGAAACTTGTTTCTTACCGCCAATGGTGACACTTGAATTTGTTTGCATTCATTTATCATAATAATCTGATTTTCAAATCACTTCTGATTGAATATGTCGACGCCAATATTTCGTACTCAACATACTTTGAAGAGCTGGTGATCTAATTAAAACTTATTGCTATTGGTTATTTCATAAAACAAAACGTTAAGTTTCAATAGGTCAAAGATATGCGATACGTGTGAGCGACAGTAACCAACTTACCCTGGCTGTAGCACGAGTGACAAATCAGCAAAAGAAGCAGCAGGGTTATCGGATCCTGGAAGAATCAACATTTGAGACAAAACTGAAAGTCTGCTTCAAAATTAAAGCAATTAAATTTGTGAAAAAACAGGGACATTTGTTTTCCATCAATTCTCAGCAGCAGCAATCATAAAAAATACGAACCAAATATATATGTTATTGGAAAATAATGTTGGTGGCCTGTTATTCGACAAACGGTGCGTCAAAACGCAGCCATTGTCGATTTGCAATGTTTCAAACGGCAATGTTTTCACACTTGTTCAAAAATGTCACGGAGGAAAACACTAAAGCAAAATGCACGTGCAAGCTATGGCATCCGTAACTCGTGGTAGTGGCTATAAAAAGGCAAGCATAAGCCAATAATCTGTTATTCAATTGTCAACATCAAGTTAAAAAATGCCGAGGCTCAGCGCCACCGATCGGAACATCGCCACAGGACCCATCCAAAGAGGGAAATCGCAGTCTTCTGTTGCGCGCCATTTAAACGTCCACCACAGCACCTTTGGGACCGATACACACAGTTCACTGCAGACCGTCCGAGTACCGCCCGACCAAGAGTTACCACCCCTGCACAGGATCGCTACATTCGAGTGTTCCACCTACGTCATCGCAATGCCACAGCTACTGAGACTGCAGGACGTACCCCTTGTTTGAGGAGGATATCGGACCAGACATTCAGGAACCATCTTCGCGAGGCTGAAATCCGACCAAGAAGACCAGTTATCGTCCCTGTTTTGCAACAGATTCGACAGCGACGCTTGGTGCCATACCTTACAGCCTTGGAATTTGAGAAACTGGAGACGAGTGTGGTTTAGCGAGGAATCACGATTTCTTCTACACCGGCGAGATGGAAGACAACTTGTTTACCGTCGTCGAAATGAGCGTTTTGCCCCACATAGTGTACATGAATTGCCATGGCCGTCGAGATCTCCAGATCTCAACCCAATCGAACACGTCTGGGATGAACTCGATCGACGTGTACGTCAACGTCAGAACACACCGCAAACACTCCCACAACTGGCCAACGCGTTACAAGCAGAACGGCGCAGAATTCAGCATGGCAGAATTTGTACACTTATCCAGTCAGTGCCGAGGAGATGCAGAGCTGTGATTGCTGTCCGCTCACACGAGATACTGAGTTCAGCGCACCCTTGTGGCCTTATGTGACATGACAGTGAACAGTTTTCAATGCCTTTGTACAACGACAACATGTGACTATCGATCATGTCTATTTAACCATCACTCATTCCTGCAACCGTTTGTAAAAGATAATGAGTGGCTGGGTAATTTTTTGTAAAAATGAATTGATTCAATGAAGGACTGAAGTGAGAAATCATTTCCAACCACATGCCCTCTACCATGTTTGAAATGTTGTAAATTTGTGCTGAAAAATCTTAATTTATTGATTTTCAAAGGTAAGATGTCTAAGATTCCCCCTTGCAGTGCTATATTGTGAAAATTGGTTTGTTTAAGTTTTCAAAGTTTTAAATCAAATTATATTTTGAAACATAAAACCATGTTTATGTTTTTACGCAGCTTTTAGCAATATTCCAGCAATATTACGGCGGGGGACACCAGAAATGGCCTTCACACATTGTACCCATGTCAAGAATCGAACCCGGGTCTTCGGCGTGCCGAGCGAACGCTTTGACCACTAGGCTACCCGACTGCCCCTTAAACCAATGTAGAAGTATTCTTTGAGCTTTGACCAAGAGCCAGTACAATTCCTTTTTTTCATATAATATCGTTTAACATATTTTCAATTAAAAATCAAACATATGATGAAATCAGCTAAGATACATAGTTCCTCTTGCTCTTCAGTTTATTTTGAGAATCAGTTTGTGCCTCATGGAAAGATAAAACAAATCCCTCACAAATGTTGAGTAGTATATCATGAAGAGGCAAAAGTTACTGGAGACCTTAAGAATGATTAAGGGGAGACAACCATGGGATTCTATCAACATATTCTGCCCAGGATTCCACACAGTGAGGATCCTGGGAGCTTTTTCTGCCCCGGAACACGGGGAGAGAGACAAGTGTTACTTGGGTATGATGTACATAAACAATTGGAAAGTTGATTATCAATAAAAATAGATTCACCTGTATACCTACAAGCAGATATATATCATAATATGCACATATATATTCCAAAAGGCAGATATATATTCCAACAAGTAGGCATATATTCCTACAAGTCGATATATATTCCAAAAAGCAGGTATATATTCCAACAAGTAGGTATATATTCCAACAAGCAGGTATATGTTCCTAAAAGCCGATATATATTCCAAAAAGCAGGTATATATTCCAACAAGTAGGTATATATTCCTACAAGCCGATATATATTCCAACGCGAAGGTATATATCCCAATAAGCACGTATATACTAGTATTCCTACAAGCAGGTAGAGTATATATTCAAACAAGTAGGTATATATTCCAACTCGCAGTTATTTGTTCAAACAAGTAGGTTTATATTCCAACATGTAAGTATATATTCCAACCAGAAGACGTATATTTCATCAAGCAAGTATATATTCCAACACGCAGGTATATATTTCAACAAGTAGGTATATATTCCTACAATTAGGTATATATTCCAACAAGCAGGTATATATTCCTAAAAGCCGATATATATTCCAACATATTAGGTACTAGTATATATTCCTACAAGACGATCTATATTCCATCAGGCCGGTATATATTCTAATAAGTACGTATATATTCCTACAAGCAGGCACAGTTTATATTTAAACAAGTAGGTATATATTCCAACACGCAGTTATTTGCTCCAACAAGTAGGTTTATATTCCAATAAGCAGGTATATATTCCAACAAGAAGAGAAATATTCCAACTAGTAAGTAAATATTCCAACAACTAGGTACACGTTCTAACAAGTAAGTATATATTCCAACAAGAATGTAGAAATAAAACAAACAAACTGTAGTATTTGCGATTTGTCAAATTAACCGTGATACAGTGTATCTAAGGTGGGGTGAGGTGAAATGGGGTTTAACGTCGCGTCCAAGATTATTTCACTTATATAGCGACGTGCATGTACGTGTGTGTGTTTGTGTGGCTGCTTGAACTAGTCCGGACTGATGCCGATTTATAGTGCGAGCTCACTGAGATACCATGCCGCAGTTTAACATGAATACCCCACTCAGACACAGTATACTGACTCTGAGCCGACCAGTCCTTGTTTTAGCCCCTTAATGCCGAGCGCCAGACAGGGTAACAACAAGTACCATCTTTTAACGTCTTTTGGTACGACGCGGTCGGGGATCGAACTCCGGACCTTCCGCTCTCCGGGCGGACGCTCTACCACTAGACCACGGAGGCGGTCCGTTGAGCTAAGGCCATTGTTGAATGTTGCAGAACAGCCTACCGGATGCGCGACGGAGATGTGGGAACATTAATTCCGAATTAGAGTGCGACAATTACATAATACATTGTTCCATAATTTCAATCCGGAATCATGAGACCGGAAGTCCGCATCAGATTTTAGTATACACTTAGTATAAGAAAGTATACACTTGAAAATTGAATTTAACGAACATATTACAAACGTTATGAATATGTTACTGGGCGGAAAAAAGTTGCCGAAATACTGCAAACTTAAGGCCCAAAACACAAGTTGCCACATGCAACATAGGTGTGTTAGGTGGCCCGGCAGTTGTAGCCTCAATCACACAGACAATTCGACCGCCATGCAACCTTCTGGCGACCAAACTATTTGACAATCGCAGTGAGGTTTCAAGGATCTCTGAAAGGTTTCATTGAGGTCGCGAGAAGGTTTCAGAGCGGTCGCAAGACCCATTCGGTCGCAACCTGTCTTTTGAACATGCACAAAACACTGCCTGCGACCGATTTGGTCGCTCGAGGTTTCATTAGTCTCCTAGAGGTCTCCTAGAGGCCTCCTAGAGGTCTCCTAGTGGTCCCCATGTGGTGTTATTCTAATAGCAGATTGGTTTCCACTGTGCGGTGATCGTTTTCGTCTGCACAAGGGTGTTGACTCTTTGCAACCTTGTGGCGACCTATCGGTGATTTATCAGTGATGAGGTGGTGATCCACCGGCAGTGTCGGTTCCCTTGTAGAATGCAATTTAATTAGCCTTATACAGAAGTTTATAGCATACAGAAAACAACTTACCTTCTCCATTGTCAGCAGTTATACCCAGTGTGATGCTACTGCAATGGGTTTATATGCTAGAGTTGACGTGTAACACGTGCTGCTTCTGAAATAGCTTGGCTGTTATATTCAGTTATTAAACCAAGGTTGTCCATTTAGAATCGTCCAACATTAATCACAGTTTGACATTTATGACACTCAAAAATGACACTTACAGCAAGCCAATAATACTCAGGCCTCACTGACATATCAGTATCGGTAGAACTGTGAAGTCAAGGTAACGAGCGGCTCGCTGCTGGTGACCACGCACCGAATGGTTAACTCCTCCAACTCCTTTCCAACTCCAACTCCACTTTCTCCTCCTTCTTCTCCTTATCTTCTCTTCCTCCCTTCCTCCTCATATTTCTCCTTTTTCTCACCTTCCGTTCTTCATCTTTCTTATTCTCCCCATTCTTCCTTCCTCCTCATTCTCCCGTCCTCCTTCTTCCTTCTTATCGTCATTATATCCTTCATCATCATCCTTATCCTCGCCCCCCCCCCCCCCCCCTTCCTCCTCCTTCTCCCCATCCTCATCCCACCCTTCCTCATTTTCCTCACCCCTCCCTTCCCCCTTAACCTCATCATCTTCCCCCTCCACTTCCCTTCTTATTCATATTTTTCTTTCTCCTCATTATCTTCCTTCTCATCCTGGGGGCACGGGTGGCCCAGTCGTCTAAGGCGCCGCGATTCGCTGTCCAGAGTTGCGTCCCTTCGACACGCCAGAAACCTATGATTGTGGGTTCGAATCCCGGTTCAACCCGATTATGTTTCTAGGTTTGTCAGCACCATACCCGTGCTCGTGGGTTTCACCGAAGTGGTAAACGTCTAAGACCTGCATCACTTCGGGCTTTCCTCCCACATTAAGCTGACACGCCGTGATATAACTAATACTGTTAAATAGCGGCGTTAAACCCAACTCACTCACTCACTCACTCCTTCTCATCCTCTTTCTTCTTCTCATCCTCATCATCCTCATCCTCATCCTCATCATCCTCCTCGTCATCTTCTCCTTCTCTCCACCCTCATCAACATCTTCTCCTCATCCTCATCCTCACCATTGTCATCATCATCTTCTTCCCTCTTCTAATTCTCCTCCACATTCTCCTCCTCTTCATCCTCCTTCTCCTCACCATCGTCATCATCATCATCTTCTTCCCTCTCCTAATTCTCCTCCACATTCTCCTCCTCTTCATCCTCCTTCTCCTCACCATCGTCATCATCATCATCTTCTTCCCTCTCCTAATCCTCCTCCACATTCTTCATCCTTCCTTTCCTCATCCTTCTCCTCCTCATCATCATCATCATCATCCTTTTCCACGTCCTCATTTTCCTCATCCTCATCCTCCGTCTCCTCATCCACCTTCTCTACTCCTCATCCTCCTTCTCCTTCTCCTCATCTTTTTCTACCATCCTCATCATCCTTCTCCTCATCCTTCGTCTCCTCGTCATCCTTTTTCCTCATCCTATTTCTCCTCATCCTCCTCGTCATCTTCTCCTTTTCCTCATCCTCATTCTCCACCTTCTCATCATCCTTCTCCTCATCATCTTCATCCTTCTCCTCATCCTCTTCATCCTTCTCCTCATCCTCATCATCCTTCGTCTCCTCGTCATCCTTTTTCCTCATCCTATTTCTCCTCATCCTCCTCGTCATCTTCTCCTTTTCCTCATCCTCATTCTCAACCTTCTCCTCATCCTCCTCTCATCATCCTTCTTTTCATTCTCATCCTCCTTCTCCTCATCTTCCGTCTCCTCATCCTCCATCTCCTTATCCTCCTCATCATCCTTCTCCTCTTCCTAATCCTCATCCTCCGTCTCTTCATCCTCATCATCATCTTCTCCTTCTTCTCCTCATCCTCCTTCTCCTCCTTCTCCTCATCAACCTTCTCCTCATCCTCAACCTCAACCTTATCCTCATCCTTATCCTCATCCCCATCCTCATGCCCATCATCATTTTCTTTCTTATGACCCTTGCCTTCATCCTCCTCCCTCTCCTCATCCCCTTCCTTCTCATCCTTCTCCTACACCTCTCTCTCTCTCTGACACTCTTCCTCCTCTACCGGGGGCACGGATGGCACAGTCGTCTGAGGCGCCACGATTCGCTGTACAGAGTTGCGTCCCTTGGCTACGCCAGAAACTTCTGATTGTGGGTTCGAATCCCGGTTCGCCCCGATTATGTTTCTAGGTTTGTCAGCACCATACCCGTGCTCGTGGGTTTCACCGAAGTGATAAACGTCTTAGACCTGCATCACTTCGGGCTTTCCTCCAACATTAAGCTGACACGCCGTGATATAACTGGAATACTGTTAAAAGCGGCGTTAAACCCAACTCACTCACTCACTCCTCCTCTACCCCTCCTCCTCCTGTTCCTAGAATGATGTGTGTAACAGCACATGTAATTATTAATTTAATATAATCATGATATGGTACTATATTGTAACTCAGGATCAAAAGCAATATTAGACTGCCTTCTAAAAAAACATACAGATTGTTCTGGTAATGCCACAAATAATGTTCTGTATCATTTCAAGTGATGTATATTCCATCAGTTCAAATGTCATGTACATTTATCAAATGAAGTTATTCCATCATTAAATCTTCAAATATACATGTTTCGATGACAAAAAAAAGGAAAACAAACACGCATGCACGCATGCACGCAATCACGCACGCATACGCGCGCGCACACGCATACATAGAATATCAAGGTATTCATTAAATGCGAACAATATACTTTAGCTGCTATGCCTACTTACCCAATGAGTGAGTGAGTTGTGTTTAACGCCGCTTTTAACAGTATTACAGTAATATCACGGCGTGTTAGCTTAATGTGGGAGGAAAGCCCGAAGTCATGCAGGTTTTCGACGTTTACCACTTCGGTGAAACCCACGAGCACGGGTATGGTGCTGACAAACCTAGAAACATAATCGGGTCAAACCCACAGTCATAGGTTTCTGGCGTGCCCAAGGGACGCAACTCTGCACAGAGTATCGCGGCGCTTTAGACGGCTGGGCCACCCGTGCCCCCTCTTACCCATTTGAGAACAATGGACACACATCATCCTCAATTATCCAGGGTATCTTTTTTGTTAAGGTAATTACCCTGGACCCATTCGTATCAAAGCTTTGTTTTGAGTCTAATTCTAATTAAAGTATGCCGCAAATAACGCACACACACGCACACGCACACGCACGCACGCACGCACGCACACACACACATGCACACGCACGCACGCACACACGCACACATACACGCACACACACACATACGCACATACCACCACCAAATAGATTACATGAGCGAGAGAAGGTACATGTTACAAATAACGAACGAAGCCGTGATTACGCACACACGCACGCACGCACGCACGCACGCACGCACGCACACACCAACACTTATCAGATTACATAAGCGAGAGAAGGTACATGTTACAAATAACGAACGAAGCTGTGACTACGCACGCACGCACGCACGCACGCACGCACGCACGCACGCACGCACGCACGCACGCACGCACCAACGCTAATCAGATTACATGAGCGAGAGAAGGTACATGTTACAAATAACGAATGAAGCCGTGGTGGCGAATATGTCTCGAACATATTCCATTGTGGTGGAGGATATATGACACAGTGATACCCCGGGTGCCATGGAGTATACAAATATATATGACATGACCGCGACTTATCAACAGACGCCGGTGTAAAAGTATTCATAGCCCCGCAGTAACAAATTATCCTTGGACAATGGTTCTCAGCTTATAATGTCATGGACATTATTTTTACAGGAACACAAAAACATCCTCTTTCACAAGTCCCATCTTAAAGATGAAGTACGTGTTCAAGTTTGGTTGTTGGTTGATACAAAAAATAATATTTTTTGTGGGGTGTATTATTATTATAAACATATTCGTTCGGATGAATTTATCCGTTTAGGGTCACGGTTGGCCAAGTCGTGTAAGGTGCCGCGATTCGCTGTGCAGTGTTGCGTTCCTTGGGTACGCCAGAAACCTATGATCGTAGAGTACGAATCCCGGTTCGTCAGCACCATACCCGTGCTCGTGGGTTTCACCAAAGTGGTAAACGTCTGAGATCTGCATCACTTTGGGCTTTCCTCACGCATGAAGGCGACATGGCGTGGTACAACTAGATTACTCTTCCCAATGGCGTTAAACCCAACTAAATCACTCCTGTCGTGACAGTTTAACTAAAGTGGTATATAAAGAATTGGGTGTTCTTGAACTTTTCTTAGTAGTATATATGTGCCATATGTGTCCCTGACGTTAAGACCCCTGACGATCGGGGGTAGAATAGGTCTTCACCAACCCATGCTTGCCGTAAAAGGGGCCTGTGCTTGTCGTAAAAGGCGACTAACGGGATCGGTAGGTCAGGCTCGCTGACTTGGTTGATGCATGTCATCGTATCCCAATTTCGTGGATCGATGCTCATGATATTAATCACTAGATTGCCAGGTCCAGACCCGATTATTCACAGACCACCGTCATACAGCTGGAATATTGCTAAGTGCGGCGTCAAACAACAAACCAACCGCAACCCTGATGTTAATGGCGGTGGAGGACCGATGGGATTGCCTAGTGAGTAAAGCGTTTGATCGCCACAACATGTTCCTGGGTTCGATTTCCCAGTAAGCGAACCAACTATAAAGCCCCCCCCCCCCCCCCCCCCCCCCCCGACACCCCCCCCCCCCCCCCCCCCCCGACACACACACACACACACACGAACACGAACACGAACACGAACACACACACACACACACACATGAACACGAACACACACACACACACACACACACACACACACACACACACACACACACACACACACACGAACACGAACACGAACACACACACACACACACACACATGAACACGAACACACACACACACACACACACACACACACACACACACACACACACACGAACACGAACACACACACACACACGCACACATGAACACGAACACACACACATACACACACACACACACACACACGCCGTGATATTGCTTGAATATTGTTAACATTTGTTGCCAATTATACTCAATACCCTCACTAAAGGCGAAGACGTGTCGCACGTGGTACCTATTGGTATGCAGGCAGCTAGTATTCATTGTTTACGTCAATACTAAATGTTATAGTGATGAGATGCATTTCAAGTATAACATGCACGAAGGACGTTCCACAATTTTAACTGCCTAATTATTTGTAAAATAATATCAAATATATAGATTATCTCGCTTGGCCCCTCGCTATCTGTGTTAACGAAGAATAGCGCTATATCATGTTTATGAATTTGACAGCTGTTCCCTGGCATACTTGTATATCATGTGTGTGTGTGTGTGTGCGTGTGCGTGTGTGTGTGTGTGTGTGTGTGTGTGTGTGTGTGTGTGTGTACGTGCGTGCGTGCGTGCGTGCGTGCGTGCGTGCGTGCGCGCGCGCGCGCGTGTGTGTGTGTGTGTGTATGTATGTAAGATTGCAAGTTCTAAATCTATTGTCAGAGGCTGAAACCATGTGTGAGAGTTCTTATTTTACCAAGAGAATTTCAAACCATATGTGAAACTTATAAACCAATAGGCCAATAAGGCCTCAGTGAGTTCTTATTCCCTGTTTCTAAACATACAAACAACTCCGAGCTCAAGTCAATTACAACATTTAAAACATATTGCGCCAAAACTATTTTCTTTCCATATCTATCTTTAAGAGATGTTACCAAACTCTTTATCTACGCATGTTAGTGTGTTATTAATTTAACGCATCAGTGACTTGTGAGCGAGTATGGTTTTACGCCGCATTTAGCAATATTCCAGCAATATCACGGCGGGGGACACCAGAAATGGGCTTCATACATTGTACCTATGTCGGGAATCGAACCCGGGTCTTCGGCGTGACGAGCGAACGCTTTAACCACTGGGCTACCCGACCGCCTCTCATCAGTGACTAGAATGATGTCCGTTGCAATTTCCTGTTTTGACCATATGTTCCCGCGTGGAGCTGACACGCTAACCTTTTGGCTAACACCTCTAAGCATCACAATTTTGTCGTGATTCACAGACACATGCTCGTAATGTCGGAATCGTACAATGGACTCCGCTTTAAGAGGGATTTCTTATCGTTACGGAACGGGTTTTGTCGTAAATATTTTGTTCATATTCGCTGTATTTAAGCAAGCCTATATATGTATATAGGTGGATTTATTCTAGATCAGATATAGGGATTACTACACGAGTGTCTGTCAGATACCATTGATCTTACAACGAGTTGTTTCAAAACGTATCTAACGAGCGAAAGTGAGTGAGTGAGTTGGGTTTAACGCCGCTTTTAAAAGTATTCCAGTTATATCACGGCGTGTCAGCTTAATGTTGGAGGAAAGCCCAAAGTGATGCAGGTCTCAGACGTTTACCTCTTCGGTGAAACCCACGAGCACGGGTATGGTGCTGACAAACCTAGAAACATAATCGGGGCGAACCGGGATTCGAACCCACAATCATAAGTTTATGGCGTGCCCAATGGACGCAACTCTGGACAGCGAATCGCGACTGGGCCATCCGTCTTACGCTTTGTTACAACGAGTTGTAAGATCAGTGGTATCTGACAGGCACGAGTGCAGTAATCTGTTTCTTACACACGTGTTAAA